TTGAAGAACAAATGCATTGTACAAAAAATAATAATTCAGTGAATCATATTTCAATGTCCAAGTCAAGACCTTGTTCCCAGTTGTATTGTGCAGAAGCAGGGATTGTACTTGCGTCAAATTTGTAGGAAACCTTATTTTGAAACTAGTGTGTGTCCCAAATGTGATAGATACATAAGATGAATTTGTAATGCACTAAGGGCACACTATCCCTGTGCAGTAGTGGACAAAACTCTTATTTCTGAATAACAGCCACCAGTGTCTTTTTGTGCTAATCCAGGGGGTGGGCATAATATATTATTATTAACTCATAACAACCTACTGAAGGAGGTTAAAGGTTACAAACAAAAATTACAGATAAAAATTAATCAAAGTACAATGGCTAATAGTTTAAACTGAAAGGACAACCAAAAACAGACTAAATTATATATATAATAAAATGAAACACCAACAAAAAACTATAAACTGAATATAAAAACAAAATCCCAATGAACACATAATACTGTAGATATTAAAAAAAAAGTCAATGACTAAGTAGGTGCTGCTGTCTGATAACAAAGCTGTATTTAAGATATTGTGCCTGAGGAATTGTTAAGTTATTATTTGACATTATTTTTATGAATTTATTTTCAGGTGTAAGATTTGTAAAGTCAGGAATAATCTTTTCAGCTTCATTGTATAAAACACCCTCTCTTTACTATATACTGGGTATATTATGAGGAAGTGATGTTCATCTTCAATATCATTTTTATTACACACTTTGCAGATTCTGTCACTACTTTTGATTCTGTTGTGTCTTCCTTTTTCAATTTCTAAACTATGATTGCTCAGTCTGAATTTAGTACTTTTCAGTTCTTTATTTTTTAGCTTAATTAACTTAATAAGTTTTCCAAAATGAAGTTTGTTTTAAATTTTGTGTAGGTCCTCAGTTTGTTTTTTGTATTAGTGTTTTGTCTGTTATCATCGTTAATTGAGTTAATCCAATATATTAAGCAGCTCCAGCAGACATTTTCCCACATATTTTGAGGATGAGAGGAGAGGGTTTACATTGACTAGTGCATAACTGTAATGTCTGTATATGCATTGTATGTTTTTTTTTTATTAATAAATAAATATTTTTCACAAGTGCAATATACACACTAATAGTTTCGTTACTGATAAAACATGTACGTAGTTATTATTCCCCGAAATTCTTCAGTGATTCATATATTTTTATTGTAATATAATTAAATGTTTCGATCCAATGGTGGGCAACATACAGCAAAATGTAACATGCAAAGTGACGTCGGTACTCTTGGACACACGAGACACGACTTCAATAATTGTTATTCTAGGAAAACTCGCTCACTCGTGTGTTGTCACAAGGTTTCATATTCGTCGGCAACGTAAAAACGCAATAACAAAACTTGGGCAAAATACCTTAATAATATCAGTTTGAATAAAAAAGCTAACGATCAGACTGATAGATATATGTAGTCATTAAATAAAAAGAACGAGTAATTGCGTGCGTGTCATGCATCCACATGCATTCAACCTGTCTGCCGCACCTACCTCCAACTTGGCATTATTTTGGAAAATCGTCTGCGCTTTGTGACAGAGCTGAGCAAACGCAGCACTCAAAGCGGTCATCTTCTGTCTTCCCTCATAAGTGAGTTCACACTGGTCTGGGTCAATGTCCCCAAGTAGTAAGTCCACATCCACAAAAGCTTTGTCGAATTCTTTTTCCAAAATATCAAGCCAGTGCATAGCCGCCATGTTGAAACCTTTTACCCCATAATGCATAGGGATACAGTCTCGCGTGACTTTATTATTGTTTATCGAAACACGTACACAATTCCGTGGAATACTAGTACATTGGTGACAAAAAACAAATAATAAACGAACTACATTAAGAAGACAATGGCTTTTCTAAAATAATTAATTTAGCCCTAAGACAGGAATAGCAAGGTCTAAAATGCAATCATACTAGTCAATCGTATCTGCTGAAGGAAATAACAAAAAGCTCTTCTCGGAATACAGCGAACAAAGTTCAATAGCATATTAAATAGTTTCCATCCCTGTAAAAAAAAAAAAAAAAAAAAATAGAAGCAAATTATCCAGAATTTGACAGGAAAAACTGCGTAGTATTACTGTCTCAATAAAATGTTATTTTTGTAAAGAATTTAGCAAATAAACGGATAAAACAAGTTTATCATAATGATTTGTAATTGATTATTCGGATTAGCAAAGTATGTGGTGTATTCAGATGTTTCTTCCAATAAATCTTTGATTTTACTTTGTAAGCACTTAATTGTGTTTCACGTTATTTTTACAGATATTATGTGTTCTGTCGGACCATGGACTTTCGTAATAGTCTGACTTTCGTTCATATTCTAATGTCCTCATTACATAATTTGTGTAAAAATGATAATTTATAAACTTGGAGATGTGAATTAATTTAAAATAATTAGGATCTACACAGCAAACATTTAGTTTACTAGTATTATGTTCATCAAAATAAAATAATTTTGTACGCCGTCGCATTGACCTCCGCTACGCGTCGGTCGTTACTGCCGCTGTACTGTCTTCGTGCATACTTTGAGGTATCCTCGTAATAACCTCATATTATATGACCTAATAAAACATATTTTGACTTACGAAAACTGGAAGGCTGTTTATAAAAAAGCATCACATACATGTATCACAGTATACATTGTCAGGGGTACCCGCACTTTGAAAAGTGTAGGGAAGAGGTCCATGAATAGTTGTAAAAACTGAGTGACATATATACACGCTAAACATACCCTCCATTGTATATTCACATATTCATATATTGATATTATAGTGGTTTGAACAAATAATCAGTGCAAATTGATTGTAACAAAAGTTTGTAATGTAATAGTCTTATCCTAAAAATGGACATAGATCTAAGTACAATAAAGCATGTATCATTCCATGTCAGAAACATTCAGAATAAAAAAAAGAAGATACACTAGTATAAAAAACTAAACTAAACACAACTAAAACAACAAACTTGCCCGAAAGTGGGTTAGAAACGCAAATTAATAAAGTAAATGTTAGAATTACTTATTTAGATATCTGTGAGGCAGCTGTTTTTTTTTAATTTGCTTTCTCTTATGTTGAAACATTCGTAAATGAGTGAGGGGAGCGAGAGCGCCGCCAGTGTTAGTAGTGAGACACATCGAACAAATTATCGCTTTGTTAGGGAGTCAAATAGTACTGATAATTCATTAAGTTGAGAGGGTTCAAATACTCAATCGCCGTTTCCGCTTCACGCCTCTACGTATGTACGAGTCCTATCAAAGAGAACGCTTTCAAAATAGTATTTTAGTTGAAGAGTATACAGGATTTCACAGCAAGTCACAGTCACAGTACGTAACGTATAGACAATTAATTTTGTTACATGGCCATGGTTCGGATTGAATTTGTTATTCGCTTCCTAACATCACAGACCGCTCAATTGTAACCGTCGCTGAATTCTGTACACGTTGTGACAAGCAGTATCACTCGTGTTGGGGGCTCGGTTAGATAACATCTATGGGCAATTTACCGCTCCTGTTCAACTGTTGACTTTTAATAGTTTTTGTTTTTGCGTCGTTCCTGGATTGATGATCAGTTTAAAATAAATAAATAAAAAAAAAACGCGACGTTATACTATGGTAGAACGGGGTTCGAACTCTCGGGTAGAACGTTACTCTACGCGACTAGCCATGAGGTCAGCTTTGTTGTTGTTTTAGATTAGGCACATTAGCGGTTAGGGTCTAAAACATCTTTATTTTGAAAGGAGTTTATAACGATGCAGATGTATAGAAGAAGAAATGTGATTTAAATGATTTTAGAATGAAGAAGAAAGTAAAATGCTTTTATTACAGATTTATAGATATTATTTTATCATTTTCTATAATGGACACACTTACTACACTCGACCACAGTCCCTCTATCTGATAGA